AACAGGACGATGGCAAACTCGTGATATGATTCGAAGTCATGCTGAAGGTCGCAGCTCTCCGTGATCCATCCCCAGCACTTCAGTAATTGAGTCGGGGATTGTCTGTTTGTGTTCACCAACGTCATCTGTCGTCATCACCTTTTTCAGCTGATACAGAGCACGTGAAATGCAGACAGCTCTGCGCTCCATCGGTACTTGTTTCACGTTGTTGAACATGGTCGTGTAGTGAGCTGGTAGCTCGTCGTTTCTTGAAGCAGTTTTTACTATGGGTGGCAAATTTACGCTGGTAATAACAGCGGAAGACTTTGACTGCATCAAAATTCTGTCCGTAGCGACCTCTTCACAGTAAAGACGTGCTTTACTCGACTCTTCACTGCGTCTGGCTTCGTCATTATTAGGCTTCAGTTTCTCCATGGTAGGCTTAGTTGTGTTTCTCTTGCAGGCGTTCAATTGGTCTGGATTGCGAGATAATCCAGCACTCGGTCTATATAGTACATGCTCGCCGTCTGTCTTCGGAGGCATATTCGATGCAGTTTCTCGAAAGTTTGAAGGTGGCAATAAATTCAGTCTTCGAGAAGGTTGAGCACCGTCAGCATTATCCCGTTCCACATCCGAAATCAGCGTATCTTTACCAGGGAATATACCCCCCGCACAATTTCCGTCACTCCTTTCATTGTCTCGTACGTGGTGGAGAAGAAATTGCCGTCGTGGGTCTAGTGCGATAGCTTCATCCTCAGACTCTGAACTTGATTCCGAATCCGAATCGGAAGAGTCCGAGCTCGATTTCGAGCTTGACTCCGTCTCGGACTCATCACTGTCCCTTTGCGTGTTCGCAGTACGCGTCACTTGTCCACTCCGTTGCCTCTTCTTGTTGGTACTTGTAGCTCTCTTCCAAAATACTGCCCAGAGATCAGCAAATATGCCAAATAATAAAAGAGGGAAGCCTCTTCGGAACACTCACCATCAGTATAGTCATCATCTGTAGCTTTACTTCAAGTTCCTGTTGCACCTCTAACGTTCTGCCCATGGTCTTCGTAAGACTGCGACTACGCTGAGGCTTGTCTTGCGCTAGTTTGTTCACTGCGTTGCGCACTTCCTTCAGACGGGAGAGCGCTGCGACAACACCGTCCACTGCACGATCGACTGAATTAATACCGTCTAGTTGCACGCTGTTGTAGCTGCTCTGGAGCTCGTCAACAGGGATCAAACGCACAATGCGCTCATACTGCGCGTCAACCTCGTCCAACATTTTGGCACCATGTTAAAATTGTGTACACTAAGTACTAGTTATGTACGGTACGTATATTTCCAGGGTAAAAGTTGATCTCCTCTACTGGCACCTCTCGAGCACAATAATGCGCTGTCTGCGAGCGTCCCCCTTCATGAACGTTTCCGAATACTCCACCAGACGATCGTGGCACTCAGATACGCAGGCATTCGCTCGTGGCTGCCAGTTTCTTTCGCAATGCTGCGTAACTTCGACAAACTGTAGAATGCACTCGTCGGCCCTCTTGGTGTCTCTACCTTTCAGTTGCTTCACCGTCTCTAAAAGTTTATCTGCTTGTGCTTGAATACTTTCGCTACATCTTTTATCTTGAATTTCTTCATTTCACTGCAACATTCCGGAGAATGGTTAGTTCATTATTAAAAGTAAAAAAAATCCGTGGCCGTACCTGTCGAGCTCAGATTTCACGATAAAATCCCCAACGCTATCAGCATAAGACTGGATGTGCTCAGCCAGCTCACCATACAGACCGTGCAGCTTAGGACGTATAGGCCACTTCCTTACCATTCTCAGAGTTTTATTGAGAAATCTAGTCGCCTTTTTGTCAGGGTCTCCACACATTGCGTGCTTGAATGCGTCGACAACTTGCCGGAAATGATTGTTTCTCTCACTTGCTGCCATCGCGTTTACTCGCCACACCAGGAGGTCCAATCTAAGACGATTCTCAGAAATTGTCGTCCTTTGGCAATCTCGACATTCTTTTTGGTCCCGTAGCAAGGCAAGCAAGGAATCATTCAGCCTGGCGTCCGCAACAATAGGGTCAACAAAAGAGAAATACAGCTTGTCGAGTCATAATTATGGAAACATACCTTCTGAGGCCAGCTGCTACTTCGGTTCGTGGACCCTGGTCGATCACTGCTGTCATTTTCTCGCTGAACCAGTCGTAGACTGTGACGTCGGCTGGTGTACCAGCGCTAAGATTGGCCCATAGTAGCACATACTTTAATATCGGGATTTGTTCCGTCTCTTTGGAAGTGGGCACGAGCTCCGTCACTTTAGCTAGCACTTCGCTTAGATGCTTGCTCCTCATGACCACAGATAGCTGTGTCAGCTTCCGTAGCTTTCCCAAACAGTTTGCATTGGTCAGTTCAGAAGCCCAGGATGATCTTTTTACTGTGTCGCCACCTGAGCTCTGTTCGTGAGACTCGGGCTGGACTTCCTCTCTGTTAATTTTTGCTCCTTCATGTTTGGAAGCTCGAAGCTCTTCACACTTGATATCATTCTTAGCAGCCTTCGGTTCACACCCGTTGCCATTGTTTTCTGCTCTTTTCCGCTTGCCACACGACTGTTTAGACCATAAACACTTAGCGTGTTAGTGTGCTTAAAGCCACTGTAACCTTACTTATCTCACTTTTGTCATTGCAGCAATCGTCGATTCCAACTTCTTACAAAGTTGTTGTTGCAGTTGCAATGTAGTGTCCATGGTCTTTGCCAACGTTACGCTGCGAGTAATAGTCGGAACGTTGTTGAGTTTATTCACGGCCCTGTTAACTTCCTCCAGTTTCGCAAAAGCAGCCGATACGTCATTCACTGCGCGAGTTATGGGCGAGATTTTGTCGTGGAGCACACCATTGTAGCTGTCGTGAAGGTCGTCCACGGGTACCAGAGCCAGAATACGCTCGTACAGACCCGCCATTGGCGGCGCCAAGTCCATTGATTCAATGGGGTACGAAGTGACAAGTATCACAGTAACCTGGTGCTACACACCGTAAGTTACGGCGTAACCTGGGATCCTTTGCGGCACTAATTTGATCAACTATTGTAAACTCTTCCAGAATTGATATTATCATATTATCAATTCTGGAAGAGTTTACAGTAGTTGATCATTTTATTATAATAGGTGCAGGTTGCACCTATCAATTTTTACAAATCTATATATGTAAATAACTTCAAATTTAATATAATCGAAGGGACTTCAGTTTCACAAGCGATGTCTAGACCCGTTTGTAAAGCTAAAATGCGAGCCGCGACGAGATCCTGCGTCAGCGGTGGTACTCTCAGACCCGATAATGTGTGACGCCGAAAAACGTAGCCCATACTGGAGCCCCCATGCGCTAAGGAGACGGATGAGAACCTGGGCGCATGACTTGACGACGACGTCTTGGACTGCCATGAGATAGCAGTGGTGTTATCGATGCGAAAAATGTACATGAATGTGACTTGCCTGAGGATGACGCGTCCGCAAGAGCACCCCCACGTCTGCACTGCAAATGCGCATGCAAGCAGCTCACGGTAGCTGATATCGAATTCGTTTAGTGAGCCTCGATAAAATTTGGTACGAGATACTGTTCTTTGGGGGAGATTTGATATGTGAGGTACACATGTTGAGACGGGACAAGATAAAAAAAAAAATTTTGATGCGTCGTGACGACAGTGATGTCGCGGGCGGGACTGGTTATAAAGTACTCGAGGAGGACACCGTTTAGCGGCGGTGAACCGAGGACCTTCTCGCATACTCGCGGTCCCCTCGACGCGACGGACGCGATGGAAGCTGCACTCGGTACTACGTAAGCATTAAGGTAAGCCTCGTGCTGGGCACACGCATGTCGCCACATGACGTAAGGAACCAAGAAGGATCCGATACTCGCTGCGTGAAATGATGTCTACGTGGAATGTGTATGCAGTTATTTCCTGGAATTTTGCAATTTTGTCACGCGGTATTGTGACCGTCCTAGTGGCGGCTTCAAAGATAAGGTCTGATGCCTTGAGGCGTGAGCTCGACGACGTGACCTTCTCTTCGTTTACGGCGACAGGGCCCATCTCAGCGGTCATGACTCGGCGTAGGGATCGACCAATATCGGAACAATTAATGCCAACGTCCGTTGCCACGTTTACGTGGTCGCCGACTCAGTGGTAGTTGGAGAATACGTTGGGGTGCCTTTTGTTAGTGGTCGACCCGTGATCTAGCGCGACCGCCCCACTGAGAATGCCGTATGTCCCGTAGCTATCCGCTCAACCGAACGCCACAGCTAAGTCAGTAGCGATTGCGCTGTCCTCTGGTATATACCCAGCAGACATATGGACATTTTCACCGTGGGTACCGGCATTGCGATATGTAGAAGCAGCATCACCTGATCACCTTGACGACATTTGACGGTGGCGCGTGCTTGCAGCGGATGATCTCCATGGCAATATTGGAGCAGCGCCTGAACGATGGCGGTGGTAACCTACCTTGATCCGTGTGTGAGCTCACCGAGGCATCGTCGGAAAATGATAGATCGTGGGTGGCACTGCCTGTGTACAGAGGATATCCCGTGCCTTAATCGACAACACCGAATGGACTGACAAAAAGCTCGGATCACACCGAAATTATGTCCGCGTCCACGATGATGCAGCGGAAGACATCTTGCTTCTTGCGTGTGTTGGCGCGTAAGACGTTAATGCGGTCAAATGCTGACGGGTGATTAAGCGGAAAGGAGCGCTGGTGTGGTAGCGGTGACGTCAAACGAATGTGAGAACCTTCATAGGCTAAACGGGCAAGGTTGTCGATGTGGGTGTAGCCACGACAATATGCTCGTAGCATCTCGGGATGCAATGCCCTGCTGGGACGATAGTCACCAGGAGACTGTCATCGGATAATCTCCGTGAATTCGTTGAGCTGCATGCTGGTGCGGCGGACAAGCTCAGACATCGCAACTTGAAAAGGTTGGTTTAGCTCATATCGCCCTCCAAGACTAGACAATTGATCCAGTGGTTGAATTGCAGAGAAACGCTTTCCGACGGGGCAGAAAGCTGTCCACAGCGACGCGTGGTGGATAGATTCCCATAGTGACGCGCGCTGCAAAACGGAAGCACGAAGTACCTGATGGGCGGCTCTGGATGGAGCGGGGCGGAGCGCAGAAGGACGTGTGGCTGGAGCTGGTGTTGTGTATGCATCGGAGCAATACCCGGCTGCTGACGCGCCTGTGCTCGCATCTGAAGGTGCACGTGTGTGTGTGTGGATTCAAAATACAAGCGAGCTCAGTGTGCCAAAACGACGGTGAACCGGCAGCGCCTCAGCCGCATCACGCGCGGCGGTGGTTAACCAAGTAACACCGGCCGAACCGTCGAGTGCAAAAATTAAGTCGGTTAGCCAAGCAAGTGTCCTACATGTACCAGCGATACACGTGTCTCTGGTTCCGCCGTTGCACATGCCTCCGCGAAGGCATGGCTCCGGCTCATCCGCATTACGGGAGGATAAAAATACGAACACTAACCGGAATCCTTCCTGGGTGACGGCGATCGTCATCATCGCGTGAAGGTGGTCGCGAGTGCGGGTAAGCCGGGTGGAGTGTTGGTCGGTCGGTTCAGCAGAGCTTGGTAGATCCTGCAGAGTCATCGCTCATACAACGAACCGAAACTCGATCCTCCTAGCGGCAGCCGAGATATTTTTCACCAAAAGGGTGAGTTCCTCGACAAGTGGACATACATGAATCCAAGATGGTGGTTGACTACGTGCAGCGTGAGCTGAGCCCGATCGAGCGTGTGGTGGGGGTCGTTGTCCATGATGGCCTCCAAACTCTCGGTGCGATGGAGAGGACGCGTGAGCATATCATGCCCTTCTGCATGAACAAACGTAATGAGGCCCCGCACGACGCCGAGTAAGGCGCGTTCTTATTTATCGCTCCCAGCTCCCGGGAGATTTTATGCATTATTATTGAGTATCTGAAAATCATCTTATATTTGCACTGGATCTTCGGTCTTCCAAAAATCTCTCGCTTCCGACTACGTAAAAAATGTCGGAAGCGAGATTCTGGTGGGAAACATTTTCCAAGGGCAAGGTTTCACTCCCGCAAAAATGGTGGAGCTCGAGCGCGTAGAGAGCGCTATGGAAGACTACAAGAAGTGGAGTGCGAACGCTTTACGCGCGGAGTGTAGAAGGCTTAGGACTGCGCTTGCCTCATCAAACAAATCGTCCTATCTGGATGCCCTCCGTGCCAGTCGGCTTGTGACGAAAAGCTATACGGTTAGTGGCGTCGTGCAGAGCCCTTTCCGTCGGTCCAAGCCCAAGCGGAACACGGTAGCTTGCGTGCTTAGATTTCTCAACGTGCTGTTCTCCGGCAGCTTTTGCGACGGCGTCGCTCGTTTGGGTGATTTAGCAAAATGGCAGGATCCCGATATACATACGACAGGAAGTCCCCCGACTGGTGGAGTGAAGTAACAGGTGCATATAATGATGAAGGCAATGAAAGCTTCAACGCTTTGATGCATATAAGGGTATATTTTTGCGCATTGATCCCGCTGCGCTCAAGAACCAGACGCTAAGAAGCTGTGGCAAGTAAGGGGGGAGTTGGGTCGTGATTACAGGGAGGTGTATGGCCGATTTACAAAGTCTGGGAACAACGCTTCGTTTAATGCATTCCACTGAGGCTGAGTGAGCCTTTACTACTTGCATTTACTCACGACTATCACAAAGTCAAACCTCTACGCCTGTATTGCTCAAACACTACCCGAGAATATCATAGCGAACTCGGTTGAGAGTGGCTCTACCGCATTGGCCAAGAGATCAAAGGCGACATCAGCACAATTTGGTAAGATCACATATTTTTACTTATAGCGTCTAAATCTAACTGATTTGGTATTTCTGTATGTATCATTCATATGTAGGATCTTGAACGGACACGGTGATCAAGTTGGTCCAAGACATGGCAAAAAAAGTAGATAAGGTCTTGTTGACAAAGCGACCAATTGCATCTTTCGAGGGGGGGGTTACGCTGAAGCGACTAAAGCATGCCCGATCTGAGAAGGAGCACGAAGCTGCAATGGGAGCTTTTACTATTCGCGAGAAGAAGGACTCGGTTTCATTACTGGTTACACTACAAAACAAATCTGCATGAAATACGACGTGATCTCGCTGTCCTTAAGCAAGAAGGACGCCCCACAGACGACTATGGGGTGGCTGACCTGCAAAGCTGCATACGAGCGAGATAAGAGTAGTAGGCACCTTTTTTCTGGTACTACTGTGTTACGAAGTAAATATTGGGCTTCGATTTTATTTGTCAAATTTCATTTGTTGATAACTTAATGGAACGCATCAAAACGCATTCTGTGTAGCTCTGAAAGCGTCTAGTGGGGCCATAACCTCAGCAACGTATCGGCTCCTCACAAAAAGTGGCCCGGCCCGTTTTTCGCAGCGCTCTTTCATTCATCGTATTCATAAGTACTAGCGCCAACACACTTATCAATTCGGCTTCCTCATCTACCGTTGGCACGCTATTTATAGTCAACTGTAACGCCATTGTGTTCACCCTTGTCGTTTTGTGTAAGAAGCGAGGTTCATGCGCGGATGGATCCCGTGCTGTATGAAATTTAAAAGCTCTTTTTTTCAATAGGTAACGTGGACAACACAAACCCCCACGGTTTGGTTCCTATCTTGGGATTTTGGCATGCTTCAACGCTCCCCTCACCTGAGATTTCTTTCGGGAATGCTTAAGTCGAAGTAAGAGGTGCAAGCCGGTGGTAGCGGAGGCGCAATTCTCGCGATAAAATCCAGGTGCATACAAGCTCCAGAAGGGCCTACCACAGGCTGGGCCGCGGGATCATTGATACCGTAGTGCACGATGAACGCCCCAAACCGTCCGACGCGCAGTCCGGCAGTGGCACCAAGAATCGGGGGGTTGTCATCAAATTGGACACAGTCAAGCATACGCTTTCGCAGCAGCACAAACGACGTCGCCTTCTCATGTTGACCTGCTTGTGTTAACCACTGTGAGTAGGCGCGATGGTAAGCGATCGGGGGACCCGAAAATATAATTTATATCAATTTCAAAGGACATCGAGAAATACATAACGCATGCGCGGCAAACTAAGAGCTCAGCAAATAAATAATTGGAGCGGTGACGTTGCAAACGTAGATTATTAGTGAGATAAACTACCTAGCCTGGTTGAAGCCGCCTAAATGCAAGCATCCACGGTGGTCACATCCCAGTGCGCATTGTTAGCCCTTAGAAAAAGTATCATGTCCAGCGTAAACGGAGATAGCCTGTTGCGTTCATACCTTAGCACCATGCGAGCAGAGCTGAGCAGCCGCTCGACAATGCTGGACGTCGGTGGGATGACGTCCAGCAGCTCGTACTCGCACGGTGTGCCTTGCTTCTTCCACCTCTTCGAAAACCCGTCGGCAAAGCCCATCTTGGTCGGCTCCGGCGCCGGGGCAGAAGGCTTAAACGGCTTCTTCATGGGGCTGAAGTGCCGCGCGCTCACCACGGGACAGACGCTTGACCTGACCTGACAGTGCTTTCACCACTTTCAGCTCAAAGTCAAGCGAGTGTACAATACCAGCGTTTGGTTCTACATCAATATAAAAAAATAAGAATATAATAAATAAGTAAATAAAAGTAAGCAAATGACTTACCCAGGTAACTGGCAAAGGACGGCTGGATCTCTAGCAAACCGTCGAGTAGGTCGCGAGCATCCAGCAAGTTGAGGTTATCGCACTGAAGCTTCCTTGATACGGACTCTTCGTTCAATAGTTGGTCCTTGAGCGCCCTCAGCTTGCGGTGTGCTGCTGGGGTGGGCAATACGTCAGCAATGTCTTCGTCGTCAGCGCTGAGGAACTCGCGCAGCTCAAAATAGCGTATTGTCAATTATTGTCATTAAATAAAAATATCGAAAAAAATCGAAATACATAATGTAACTTTGCAGCTTGTTTGATCGTGCGCAGGCGCTTCATAATGAGCTGTACCTGGTCAAGTTCCTCCTCGTAGGGAGACAGGAAGTTGCAAACGGCCAAATTTAGCCGATGGCTGGCACAGCCTATCAGCGAGACCTCCATAAGTCTGGCATGGCGCTTGTTGACTGCACAGTTATCGCCAACTAAAAATTTCACATTAGCGAGGCTCTTACCAAAAAAGGGCAGAGACTCGAGTCGTCTGGACCATTGATCACTGGTGCCATGGAGAGAATAAGACAGCGATGCACACCATTGTGCTTGTAGCAGCAGTATACTGCCATGTAGTGCTCGTTGCCGAACGTGCAGTCGTCGAGAATAAAGCCGAAGCATTCCGGCAGCTCTTCCCCGATGTTTTTCTCCGCAGCTTTGGTGGCGAGCTCCATGTCGTGAGTGATGGTCTGCTCACACACGTTCGCCAAGTTCGTGTACCTAACATAAAAACTAGAGCTAAAAAAAATATTTCGTCTAGATCGTCATGCGAACGGAAGGTTGCCCTTGACAATCCAGTCGATCCATAGGTACCGGTTTGACGCCTTCTGGCGAGCCCGCGGGATGAGAGTTCCGGTGGCAGCGGTACTGGCTGCCTCCATCTCCACCCCAAAGCGAGGGTGGTTAGCCCGCACATGAGACATCAAATTGATGTACCCAGTTTTGGGTACATGCTTTCTCGTCTTTCCGCACCGTTCATCTATCATGGGCTTGATGTAGAAGGGCGCCACTTGTTTCGGTGAAAACTTGCACTTAGTAGAAGGCGAGGCGATAAGTGAGTTGGGCATGGTGAAAGAAGAGAGTAGGTTTTGTTGTGGTGTTCCTGGGAAGTTGCAGGATGAGCTAGAATATGCGGTTTGGAGAAGTCGAGGGGCTCAAAACCA